GTGTAGCTATAAGTGAGAAATACGTTTTTTGGATTTTAGTTGCTTTAAAATTTCTTAGATGTACTCAGGTTAAGGGCAGTGATTCACATTCTAGAACGACATATTTTGTCCATATTCAGTGTTTGGGGGGTCACTTTGTGGAAATGAGATAGGCTTCTGCTAATTTTAGGGCTAATGTCAAGGCTGATGACACCTCACACACGAAGGTAATTTGAGAACAAGCTTATTCTTCACACAATAGAAACCTGGAAAGTCAGGGCTGTCTTGAGTGAATAGTGGGGATGAGTTGGGTCTTTGTAGGATGTAAGTAGCGTTAGCAAGGGCTTGTCCAGCTATAGGGTCAAATAAGAAAAGGAGCATTAGAGTTTTGTACAGCAGTTGGCTTTAAATAATTTATGACACAGGTAATACTATGTTGTGTACATTTTGAAATATATGTCAAATGAAGACTACCTATTAAAGAGTAAAATATAAAATCATACCTTACATAAATGTTTCTGTTCTTAGTATTTTGATATGTAAAATATATTTTTTAGTTTATATACTGATATGATTAGATTTTATATATGCTTATTAACTTATACACTATAGGTATGAGCATTTAAAGAAATGTCTACATTTTTCACATATTATATGACTCTTTAAAAAACTAAAGAATATTAATCCGATAATATTGGTCACAACAAATTATACTCAGGAGAAACAGGAAAGGAGTACAAAATGTAACAGTGCAAGCAAATGAATCCTTTTATTCCTCTTCTTCTCTCTTTCACTTTAGCGGTTCTTATTTTTTATTTCTTCTTTATTTTATATAGTTTATAAAAATCTCTATTTATTGTTTTGTTGAGGAGAAATTTTTACTTAAAAATTTATTCTGTTTTATTTCCCAGGCTACCTATTCAGCATTGCAATCAACTTTTCTACAAATTAAACTGGCTCCAAAATATTTATTTAAAAGTAATTTTTTCTCACCGTACTCTCTTTTACTGCTTCAAGAGTGTGATATAGACACAGACAACAGTTTAGTGTTTACCAGAGAGTAAGGGCAGATGGGGGAGGTAGGAGAAGGAAAAGGGGATCAAATATATGGTGATGGAAGGAGAACTGACTCTGGGTGGTGAACACACAATGTGATATATAGATTATGTATTATAGAATTGTACACTGGAGGCCTGCACGCTTTTGACTCGCCCGGCTCCTACCCCTCAGGTTCCTCTGTGGCCTCTGTCCCGGGGCGCTGCGTCGTGTAGCAGGAACCCAGGAATTCCAGGTGCCCGACGAGGTGCTAGGGCTCATCTATGCGCAGACGGTGGTCTGGGTGGGGAGTTTTTTCTGCCCTCTACTACCCCTGCTCAACACAGCCAAGTTCCTGCTGCTCTTCTATTTGAAGAAGGTGAGGGTGGGGAGCACCTGTCTGAAGGTGGAGGTATTGAGGCTTGGGCTTGAGCCCTTGGGGAGGAGGGGACTAAGGGATGTGACTCCTGGGTCCTAGGGGAGGAGGAGGTTAAAGTCCTGGAATACTGGATCCTGAGAGAAGTGGGGTTTGGAGGACAGGCTCCTGGATGTGGGAGGAGGGGTCTAGAGTATCCCAACTTTTAGGTCTGAGGGACCCGACTCCTGGGTCTGATGGTGGGAAAGGACTGGGGACTCCTGGATCCTGACTGAGGAGGGAAGGGGCCAAGGGCCAGGAATCCTGGATGGATAAAATAGAGAGACTGGGGGTCAGCCTTTTGTGTCTCAGATGCCCTCTTTCCCCCACCAGTTTGCCCTCTTCTCCATCTGTTCCCCGGCCTCCAACACCTTTCGAGCCTCCATGGTGAATTTCTTTTTCCCTCTGGTCCTTCTCCTGGGTCTGGCCATCTCCGCCGTTCCTGTGCTTTATAGCATCTTCCTGTAAGTGTAAGAAGCGCCTGCCTCTGTCCCTCCCTACACCCTCATCCAGGGTCTGACTTGGCCATCCTTGAGGTCTGCCTTTCTCTGACTTCAGGATCCCGCCTTCCAAGCCGTGTGGTCCATTCCGGGGATGGTTGTCCATCTGGGCCCAGATCCCACAGTCTATTTCCAGTCTCCCTCAGATCGCCCAGAATTTTCTCTTCTTCCTGGAGACCCAGGCTTTTGCTGTACCCCTTCTGCTGATCTCCAGCATCCTGATGGTGTATACCCTGGCCCTGGCTAACTCATATGGACGCTTTATCTCTGAGCTCAAACGGCAGATAGAGACGGAGGTGCAGAATAAAGTCTTCCTGGCACAGCGCGCTGTGGCACTGAGCTCAGCCAACGGGGCTCTTTGACCTCCCTAGCCTAGCTCGGGGTGACGTCCCACTTTCAGGCCCAGACCTGACCCCAGACCCTTTGTATGCCTCGGCCACGTCATCTGTAAAATGGGAGAAGAGAAGACTGCACTTTTTTCCATCCCTGGGTTTCTGAGATTGCCAGGGCCCTGAACCCCCTGATTTTAATGAACCTCATTATTTTATCAATAAACAGCCAAGGCTGCTGAGTGTTGTTTGAAAAAAAAAAAAAGAATTGTACACTGGAAACCTATATAATTTTACTAATGTCACCCCAATAAATTTACTAAAGATTACAAAATACAAGTACACTTAAAAAAAGAAAGTGGGTTTTGAAAAAAGCAACTGCACTCAGGAAAGTTTATTTGGCTGAAAAGATATATAAAACAAAAACAAATTTTAAGTGTTTTCCAGTTTCAAGTATTTTAGAGACACAAAGATAATGTTAAAACTACACAAATTTATTACAATGAAATTTAGAAGATTTTCAGGAATCCAAAATTTTTCTCCTCTGACATCACCTTAGTATGAAGATAAATTTAGGCTCTAGCGTTCTTAATGTTCTTCTTGGGTATGTCCATTACTTCAATTCACCCCAATGGAAAAGAGCCCAGTAATAAAACCATCAATTCCCATTCTCTCCCTACACCTGTGCAATCCCCTCTCTGTACCCTTCCTTCATTCTGTATCATAAGTGAAAACTGGGTCAAAAAGAGCAAAATTCTGCATAGAAGCAGAAGAACAATTTAAAGAATAAGATAGGTAAAATTTAATGGAAAGAGGTGATGCGAGGTAGAAAGACTCAACAACGAATCATACTCGTGTACACAGTGTCATCTACCCCTTAACGAGCATCTGCTACATCATGTGCTGCATACACACACTCTTGTCCAATTGCATGACACCCCTGTAAATTGCCTGTCACTATTTCTATTTTAAAGATTAAGGAATTGAGTTTTCTGACATGGCAGATGTAGATTTGTTCTTATTCCTCACTGACCCTCCCCCAATCCACCATCTTTCTCCTATGGCACATGGAACCTTTATGTGCTAATGAGTTTTGAGTTTCACCCTGAAGTCAGAGTAAGATTTTAAGTATTGCGATGACGTGATCAGATTTGTGGGTTTTTATGGATGACATATAGCCAAGTAGAAGGAATATAAAGACCTGGGGGAAGAAGAAAGTAATTACAGAAAGATTTATAATTCCTAAGAAGAAGAAAGTAATCTTCCTAGATGCTGGGCTGGCTGGAATTTAGTCTGTAAAAGTGTATCTAGTATGACATAACTTCACTGTCAATAGACCACAGTTAGAGGCATCAATGATCATACTTATAAATTATTGTATCAAGTGCATCTGGTGCAGCCCCGTTTCCAAGAGGAGATGCTTTCTGGATATGAGAACATCAAGAAAGGGTGTTTGCCAGAGATTATCAATCTTACTGATAAGACAGGAGATGTTTTTGTTTTCAAAATTATTTTGTCCTTCATTTCAGGAAAGTCCAGATATGGTGTTTACATTAAAATATGAAATTGTTCATCACTCAGACTTGATTGATAAGATAGGAATATGATTAGGGAGTGCTTTAAAGATTATGTCGTACACACTGTTGTAATGTGTGTTAAACTAATTCATTCCAACTTTTTATATAATATGTTCAGAAAACTCTAGAATTTCATATACTGTATCCTTAACAGACTTTGAATAATATAGATATATAAGAAAATTAGCAAAATATAAAATATATTAGAACTATGTATGATCAATTTAAGAAAGAGAGGTTTTAGTTGTATGGAAGAAAGTAGCAAGAGGACAGTCTTAGAATACTCAGACTTTTAGGTAAGAATATTACTATGGATGAGGAGAAAGAAGAAATTTGCTTTTTGTCTTTTATACCAAGATAAATGAAAATGTAAATGATTTTAATAATAATTTTAACACACAATTTTCTTGTTCTGATTAATGTATGTTTAGTAAAAAGTTCAAAAATTTTTTCTGTAATTCTTAATTTTTATGTATTTAGATTTCTCATTTCAGTATTTTATGGACTAACAACTAACAGAGTCAGAATTTTGTGAAAACTTTTCCCCAACAAAGATTAAACATTAATGTAAGAGCTTGCCTGACAAAGATTAAAAGACAGACTTTCTATCCATGAATCATATAAATTGTATGTAAGAATCATATAAATGCCATGCATGTTTGTCATTGCCTTTTAAACCTGCTCCAAGTTTAAATGTAACTACTGATCTTTTGATGATTCTTTAATCTGTAGACTAAATACGGTATATTTTTATCTCATTTTCCATATTTAAAACTGAAAACAAAATCACTCTGCGAGATATATTAATGTTTGAGTGTTCTCTTTTTATTTCATTATTCTAATGACACTTTTTCTTCTGTACCTTCCCAACCTGTGAATATCACATTAAAAAAAAAAAAATTTCTAGCCAAGGCTGACCTCCTTCCAGATGCCGAGCCGTGTTGTATTTCTCACTCCAAACATTTTCATTTCTGAATAGCAGTATCCTAGTTTTGCTATTATATTTATACAATATAAGCAATGTGCTGAATCGTTAAGGGGAGGGGATACTGTAAGAAGGCCTGAGTTCAAGTTCTAGCCCACATTAACTAAATTTGGAAAAATGCAAATCGTAATATAAAACCTATTTCCAATATCCTTTATAATGAATGACTGTCTCTCTCTGGGTTGTGTTGCAGTTTAAATAATCTAAACGAAGACAGTTTGTTAATTATAGCAGACTATGAAAATGTTAAAGATTACTACTGTGTGGACTTGGCATTTGTGTGTTTAGTTATTTCATATTTAAATTTAGTCCTGTTTCAAATCTATGGGCCTGTTTTCTGATGTCAAAGACAAAACTAAGCCTGCTGTAACATATACAAAGGGTGTTTATTCATAAACTTGCCACAGGGGAACCCATCTGTCATCACTTACATGTCAGCAGGGGTTCAAGGAGCTGGAAAGGAAAGTATAGTTTATAGGGTAAAAAAAGAGGGAAAAAACAACGCAGTATGTGATTGGCAAGTGTTCGATTACGTGGGATTTTTGGAAGAAGGAAGACATTTTAGTTAACCTGGTACATTTGGCAGCTCTTGGTTGACTACAAGGGGATGAGTTAACAGTTTGGGGTCACTTCAAAAGACGACGGATTATTCCATGTAGGGGCAGAGAGTTTTCCGTGGCCAGCTATTTCCTGGAACAAATGGGGGTCCATGTTTTTCTGCTGTCACATGTCATAGTCAAGTGTCCTTATGTGGAGTGGGGTGGCTGCCATGGCAAGTGGTTTCTTACTGACATCATTTGTAGGAAACCTCTGTTAAACTTCATGATTTTAGCTGACAGCTGCTAGCCATCTCTGTTCGACATTCACCATTCCCCAATCTTAACATTACCTGTTTTAGCTTATAGGGCATCATAGCATTCTTCTTACCTCACTGCCATGTGCTCGCTGCCTGCCGCAGTCCAAGGTTTGTTTTTTACCATGCTCCTGATGCACAAACATTTCAGAAGTTCAGGCCTTGGTTATCTGATCTCAATAGCTTTTTCCTCCTTATTGATTATTTTCTCAGTATTACAATTAAAAGAAAAATCCCAGATTATTTCATGTGATTGCATTAAATGGATTCTGAATATACACACTTAACAAATCTACAGCTAAGTATACGGTAAATTATTTGCAATGCCATAGCCCAACATCCAGGAGTGGCTCTCCTGGTCAAAGATCCTCTTTATAAATCCTGTCCTTGACTCTCTGTCCCATAGAACCTCTGTGCCTGATCAAAAAACGCTGCAGTCTACTCTATGTGATCATGTATTTTCTCTTCCTATATTTACTTAATTTTAGACTGTATGTGTGTGGAATTTTCTGTACAGGATGCACTCTATACCCCCTTTCAATCACTGCCCAGTTTTTGTTTTCAGAAAGGTAAAATTTTTTATATCATAAAAACAGTAAAAACAGAATATTTACTTGGGGAAATACACTAAGCCCTAGATGTTTTAAAATACAGCATAACGGGCATATTGCCAGTAATACATGGCCAAGGAAGAACTTCCACTCACCCGGATGGGGGATGAGCATGAATGAATCAGCCAATGAGTGTTGCTTTCAGAGTCACAATAGAAATGAAGTTAGTGAAAAATCCTTGCATGATTTGTCAATTTAGTACTCATGTTTATGATTGGCATTGCTGCTTTCTTTTATATTCTTGTGAGTTTTAGATATTGTAGTGTGGAAAAGATTAAACTTTATATGCATGTATACAAAGGCATATATGTGTGTGTATGTTTTTGTATGCCTCATCAATAAGAAGCTAAGTCTATTACTTACTTGGTATATCAGTGAGTGATATTAACATAGTCAAATAATATAAGAATTTATTTGTTTAAAATTTCTAATGTAACAACTTTAAGGAGCATTGAATTCTCAACTAACATAACAGGCAGCTGTCAAGAAAGGTAACTCAATTTTAAATATAAAAATATATTAGCATGTAAATAATTGGGTTAACAGCCAAAAGAGAAAAAAATTAAATCACATATTTTAAACTCCTGTACTCCCCAGTCACAATAAAAATAAAGATACTTTGGCTGATTTCATGGACGCTACATAGATTTTCATTTTCCCTTCTTTTTCAGTTAAGAGAAAACTTTGGAATAACTTAATTTTTCTTCTCATCATAAAGATGATCTTGGAGAGGAATCTTCATTTTTATTTAATTCATCCACATGAGACAGACCAAATAGATTAGTGTCCAATATGATTCTTATGAACTAGTCCTGTTTTATCACATTTTTTTTACATTCTGTTTGTAGATTCACAATAATTTATTGCAACTGTTTCACAAAGTGAAAATTTGCTTTTAATCTTAATCGACTGCTAAGTTTTCATCGTATTACGGAAATGATTTTAACTAGAGAGCTTCTTGGAAACTATCCACTAATAGTATTAACTGTCCATGTCAAATGAGTGAGCTGAGATTATATTCAAAGCTGATACAAACACTGTTTCCAGTAACCATTTTAAATAGAAAAAAGCAATTCAAGATGGTTTATGATTCTGATTCAGCATAAAAGTTAATGCTGCGTTTAGATGTTTTATCTTCAACTTAACATCCTGAAAACAATATGAGAGAGAAAAACTGAACAGGTGTGCTGAGGCAGATTATAACCTAAATTTTCTA